CTTTCCTAAAACCTGGGCAGCTGCTCGCAGCTGATTCCAACTGCTAACCATAGTGACAGAACTGGCAGGAAAGGCAGTGTACTCTAGCTAACTACACTACTGTGTCTAGAAGACTTATTTAGATGCAGGGAAGTAGAGCCACACACAAGCAAGATATTAAATCTGGCCTCTCTGCCAACTTAGTCCCTATCAGGAAGACTCCCTGACGAGTCTGTATTCTAAATTTTCTGACACTTGTTCCATTAATTAGTGCAGCAATTCACAGCCAGGCCCAGTGGCTCACACCTGTAATCCCAGCACTTTGGGAGACCAACGCAGGTGGATCACCTGAGTTCAGGAGTTTGAGACCAGCCTGGCCAACATAGCAAAACCCCGTCTACTAAAAATACAAAAATTCGCTGGGCATGGTTGCAGGCTTATAGTTCCAGATGATTGGGAGGCTGAGGCAGGAGAATCCCTTGAACCCCAGAAGGCAGAAGTTGCAGTGAGCCAAGATCGCACCACTGCAGCCTGAGTGACAGAACAAGGCTCTGTATCAAAAAAAAAAAAAAAAGTTGGGGCGGGGTCAGGAAAAGCAAATCATGATTTTGTTAACAGTTCAAACTGTTTTGTATCTTCTAGCCCTGGTCAAAGGAGAGAAAACACTATTTTCAATGCAATAAGATATCAATGATTTTTGTTGCTATTTCTTTTTTTCCTTTTTTTTGAAATGGAGTCTCACTCTGTTACCGAGGCTGAAGTGAAGTGGCACCATCTTGGCTCACTACAACCTACAACTCCTGAGTTCAAGTGATTCTCGTACCTCAGCCTTTCAAGTAGCTGGGACTACAGGCCCCTGCCATCACACCCAGCTAATTTTTGTATTTTTAGTAGAGACGGAGTTTCGCCATGTTGGCCAGGCTTGTCTCTAACTCCTGACCTCAGGTGATCTGCCTGCCTGAGCCTCCCAACGTGCTGGGATTACAGGCCTGAGCCACTGCACCAGGCCTCGTTCTTTAAATATCTGCCTTCCCAGACTATGGTTTCCAAGGTTTCCAGTGATACCGTCTATGTGAGGAGGCAATTATTAAAAAGAGAAATTCTGAGATTCAAGACATTAATGTTTTAGCACTATTGCCCAAAATCTCCATAATTATCTTACATTTCAGAATGTAATTATTTTTCCATTAAAATATGACACAGAACCACTCAGACAAGAGGAAAACATTTACTTCTCCAAAGTTTTAAATAAGAAATCTGAACCTTAACTTAAAGCAGTATGCTAATACTCTGAAACTGAGTTCCCTTTGACATTTCAGTTTTACAGATATTTATCCTTAGCTTCAATAAAATTATTAGCATATTTGCTCATAATGTTTTTCTTTCTTCAATTGTATATTCCCTCCTCACACTGAGAAGAAAATCACCAAAAAAAACTTTCTTGAGGAGTTCTAAGAATAGTGAATCATGTTGCTGGGGTAGAGAGAATACCAACTTAAACAGCCATTGGTTGCTTGCTCCTGATAGAACAAGTCTTGCAGACAAAGGAGCAGAATACAGAATAACTACAAATCCCACTGTTACATTTGACTCCATCCTGCCTTTCCTCCTTCTGTTTTCCTCTTCATTTCAGTCTTCCTCTCTTTTCTCATATTGAAATAACGATCTTCAACAACAGAAAGTCACGTTTAAGCTTCTGATCTCTGTTGCTAAATCTAAGAAAAGGCATTCCTTTATTGGTTAGGACTAAAGTAGATTGATCTTTCAGAGGTACCTGAGGAGTATAGTGGTGATTACAGCTCATTGCAGCCTCAATCTCCTGGGCTTGGGTGATCCTTACACCTTAGCCTCCTGGGTAGCTAGTGCTACAGGAGCACATCTAGCTGATTTGGGTATTTTTTGTAGAGACAGGTTTTGTAGAGCCTGTTGCTCAGGCTGGTCTCAAACTGTAAGGCTCAAGCAATCTACCTGCCTTGGCCTCCTAAAATGCTAGGATTACAGGTGTGGACCACCACTCCTGGTTCTCCTTTTTTTAAAAAAAGAAATTCTACAAATATTAAGCATAATTTCTTTTGGTATTTCTTTTGAGATTTTTCAATAAAATTCACTCAATACTTTAAGACCTTCAAAGCCAAATTGCAAAACAGCTTTTTTGTTCACAATCAAAACATAAAATTCCATAGAATAAATTAATAGGAATTAATTGGAGACACAAGTGAAACTCTTTAAAAAAGAAAGGCAAAGGAGTAATGTATTGCTTTCACAAGACTTCAGATAATTCATTTTGGCATAAACTAATGCTAAAAGACAGCTCAGTTTCTCAGCACCAAATAGATAATCTGCTAATTCTTCTCTGCCCTGAACCAATCTCAACAAGACACTCACTCCAGCATCCTTTGTTAAATAAATTATCCATTGTTCCCTACAATAATTATCACAGAGCTCCTAGTACACAATAACATGTGCAGAAGGATGCTTCATTAAGTGTTACTAACTGGCTGCTCAGTTTTGAGTGCTTCAAAGTGAACACAATAATAAACCTTGAAATTATTTTTAAATCTTCCTAGTTAGTGGGATGTTACAACTTTTCAGGATTCAACTGAAATATGCCAGTGCTTAGTACTATGCCTATTACATAGTGATTACCTAACAAACTTTTTTTTGGGTGAATACCACATAAAAGCTCCTATCTTTGCAGCTGGTAAAGGATTGTTAAGGTGACTGAAATATCTCAACAAAAGAAAGTAGCTAAATGATCAACAAATATTTACTGCATACTCACTATTTAAAAAGCATTGTGCTGGATTTCTGCTTCCAGCCATGATGGCATAACAAGGACTGAATTTAATCTTCCACCATAAACAACTAGAAAACTAGAAAGATATCAGCAACAATATTTTCAGCTATTGGACAATAGGCAAGGAAGAACTGTGAACCCTGAAAGAAGAGAAATAAATGAAGTGAGCCCTGCAATCGCTCCAATTTTCTTGCAAGTGATTTCCAAACTATCAGCACACAGGGCAAGAAACCACACAGAGCCTAGCAACCTCTAGAGTTGGAGAAACAAAGATTAGAGTTGGAGGATGATGAGGCAGCTAGAAAATGAGGGGCAGGGTTCTGGAAAGGCAGAGAATTTAGAGTCCCAGGAAAAAGAAAAACAATTGAAATATTTCCAAGTTTAATGAAAATGACATATCCACAAATCCAATAATTTTAATGAGTTTTAACCAGGATAAACACATACATACACCCCCAAGAAAAACTAAGGTACATCATAATAAATGACTTAAAATCAGCGATAAAGAAAAAAATCTTAAAAAACGTTGTATTATGTGCTATAGTAGATACTAAGGTGAATAAAGAACACAGTGCTTGCCTCAAGAAGGATGTTTTAATTTCCATTTATATGTAAATGTGATTTGCATCTAAGGCATTCAAATTTCCTTCTAGGCCTAGGAAAAGAAGCAGCAGGACCCAAATTCTAACGTGTGGGTACAGAAATGGGTAGGTCTGGTTCACAGGGTGGGCAGCACTGGAAAGCAAGATTTTAAAGAATCCAGGAGCAATGCCAAAATTGAGAACCTTGCAAATAATGCATTGCAGAGTTCATTCACATTAGAGGAAGAGGCAAAATAAAGTTTGATCTGAGGCGAAGTGGCAAAAAAATAAAAGATACTTCAGGAAAAACATGGGCAAGAAAGACTCTTCTGTGGCAGAACGGGCACAGTGGCTCATGCCTATAATCCCAGCACTTTGGGAGGCCCAGACGAGTGGCTTACTTGAGGTCAGGAGTTCAAGACCAGCCTGGTCAACGTGGTGAAACCCTATCTCTACTAAAAATAAAGAAATTACCCAGGCATGGCGGCATGTACCTGTAATCCCAGCTACTCAGGAGGCTGAGGCACAAGAATCACAGAACCTGGGAAGTGGAGGTTATGAAAACTTAATATATAATTTTGTGCCCACCACACTTAGCAGATGACCAAAAATGTCATCTTTTCTTTTCCCACAATTAATATCATGCCAGAATTAAAAGATAATTAGAAGGTACTAAAGACATGGTATGATTTATATCAAAGAAAAAAATGCAGAGCACACAGTTCCTCACATAGGAAATTGTTACTGTGGGCACACATTAAAGAATTAGTTTCAAACTCCTGAAACCCTAAGAGGGTAAAATTACCATAAAAGCCAACAATTGGGTCCATGTTGATTGTCTCTTCTTCAAACTGTATTAGGAACAGACCAATAATGTTAATGTCATCAAATTCCATTAAAGTCAATGAGATCATTAATTTTCATTCTTTTCTGTGGGCATTCTTTAATGTAGCAATTTAGAAGTGAGAAAATTACCATAGTCCTTAGTATCTAAACAAAGAAAATCAGTGCAGACATTGCACATTTGAATCTTGAACCATTAGATGAAATTAAGATATTTTATGAAACTAATTCATTTGTGACTATATTTTGAGAAAGTTCTGGTTTTCTATAGAAGCTGATTTTATAACAGTCTTATTACACAGAGAACTGCCACTCTAGTACTCTAGATTGAAGAAATTCAGTCTTGCATCAAAAAAAAAAAAATTAAGACAATGCAGTTTTAAAGGCTGCCAAACTAATATGCTTCCCATGAGAACATAAAGAAAACAAAGGAATGATTTTGAGGGAACTTGTTAAATTCTTTTATTAAGCAGCCCTGAATGTAACTAGATGAGATTAGCTAGGATCGGAGTTGAGTTGAAGCTAAATGAATTCTGACAAAGCTTTCCTTTCTCTTAAGATTTCTTGAGTACATAGGTCATCTGAATTAATTGTATGAGGCATAAATTCGGGAAGAAGGAAGGAAGAGAAAGAAAGAATCCCTGCCAGCATTCAAGGGATAGCAGAGTCCAGGCACAACCTTCAGGGAACCAATTATTAGTTTCTAAACTTAAATGTTTTGTGTGAACATTTTCATCAAAGAATATAAATGTACAAGTCAGAGGTGACCCTTTACTTTCATTACCGTTCAAATTCAATGCCTTGCCTGACCCAATCTCCATGATGAAGTTTATGCTCCAATATATAGCAACATTTGTGACATCCAGAGAGCAGCTCTGCCCAGTTAATGGTCATGGTGGCTTCTCCGTCTTCACATGCACTAGCAGGCCGATCAAACAGGGAAATCATGGCTGCTGTGAAAGCAATTGCTTGAACCTTGACAGAGACATTGAAAGAAAAGCAATCATGGACAGGATAACTGTTGCAAGAAGAATTCTGTTATTTTTGTTTAATAAGGAATAGCTATTAACTTTTTTTTTGAGTCAGAGTTTCACTCTTGTTTCCCAGGCTAGAGTGCAATGGCACGATCTCGGCTCACTGCAACCTCTGCCTCCTGGGTTCAGGCAATTCTCCTGCCTCAGCCTCCTGAGTAGCTGGGATTACAGGCACGTGCCACCATGCCCAGCTAATTTTTTGTATTTTTAGTAGAGATGGGGTTTCACCACGTTGACCAGGATGGTCTCGATCCCTTGACCTTGTGATCCACCCGCCTCGGCCTCCCAAAGTGCTGGGAATACAGGCGTGAGCCACTGCACCCGGCCCCTATTCACTTAAGAATTCCTTTAATATTTAAAGAATGCAGGCAGTTATACTTAAAAAAAAAAATGAGATTGCTGATACAATTACCAAAGGGCAGTCTTATTTGTTTTTAAGATACATTTGTCATTAAAAACAGGAAGAATGAAAAGCTTTCACAAGTGCAAAAGGAAATTGTTCAAATTCGCCTACCTCAGAGGTCACAGACATAACCTAGTTTCATTCAGTAAGTAATAATTTTTCATAGGTTGAGTGAAATTTGATAGGAAGACAGAAATAATAGTATCCAATATCTATGTATCAGAGGTGCCCTCTCTAATCCTGTTGTTAATGATACAGGCAATGAGCACTCACTAGGAAATTGGTACTGAGAAACCTAATACTCTAGGAAAATCAGAACAATAAATTAGAAAGAATGTTGAGGGATAAATGTAGACATTAATATTAAACATTTATTCATATTGGGATCTAATAAATCAAGCATCCTATAGTTAAAAAAAATTAGCAAGATATTTTTCTAAATGAGAAAAGTGAGACTATACACAGACCAAAAAGACAGACGAAGCCACACACACCATGATTTGTTTTTGTAAGCAAGAAGACAAACTATGACCTAATCCATCTCTTTCATATCCAATGTGTATATAATCCATAATGTAATTAAATTTGGAGGTCACAGTCTTTGCATTTTAATTTCTATTTTAAACCACAGTTTGATTAAATCCATAATCTTAATCTACCCTTACTTACCTTTCCAGTTATATCTCCAAAAGAAAGAATTGATTCATTGGTATCAAGAGGATCATACCAATAATCCATGCAAATTGGTGTTCCTTTCAGACCTTGGAGTTTGTACTGGCAAGCAAATTCTTCTTTGGACGGCAGATCATAGAAACAAATCTCTTTACTTGTAAAAGCCACTGCTATCTAAAGTAGCAGAGTAGAAAATCAAAGTATTTCTGATGGATTTAGCAAAATTAATATGCAACGCAGACATGCCAATCTATTGCCAAATCAGACTTTGTTCTCTGAGGATCCTTAACAGTTTTACAGAAATAAAGAACAGCAGCACAAATGTACTTCATCCTAACTTTGAAATCTCGCCAAGAAGAAACTTTTCCCATTAGAGGCATTTGAACATGCTTTCTTTCCTACTCCCATTCCACACACTCAACATCCCCATCCATGGGAGACTAGACCACTAATCATATGGGAGAGACTAAGGCACAGAAATATAGCATCATACAGTTATGCCAGAAACTTTACAAATCATGTTTTATGATGCAAATAGAGGCTTTCTTGAAAATCATTTGATATAGACTCTATCAGTAGCTTTATCTGAAGTCCAGGAAAATCCTAAAGGCTATTTCAGAAAGGGAAAATTATTTAAAAACAGAAAAATGAGTCGATAGCAAATGTCCCTGTGGAGGTTCACTCATTGGATTTACTAGAAAAAGATTTCAACTATTATATATGTTCAAACAACTAAAGAAAACAAGGTCTAAAGAAGTAAAGGAAAGCATGTGGCTGGATGCGGTGGCTCATGCCTGTAATCCCATCACTTTGAGAGGCCAAGGCAGGACGATTCCTTGAGGCCAGGAGCAACATAGTGAGACTCCCATTTAAAAAAAATTAGAATGATGTCTCATCAAATAAAGAATTTTCATAAACATGTATAAATAAAATCACCATTCTGCCAGTCTTTGCCCTTTAATTAGAGTGGTTAGTCCACTGATATAATTACTGAGAAGGTAAGATTTACATCTGCCATTTTTCTAACAGAGCCCCATAATCCATGAAGTGAAAACTAAAATTATTGGCGACAGAGTAGTCATTTCAATCATAACAGTTGGATATTTCAATACTCTACTTTCAATAATGAATAGAACTGAGCTGAAGATCAGTAAGAAAATGAAGACTTGACAAACACTATAAACCAACTAGATCTAGCATATGTGTAAAGAACACTTCATTCCAACAGCAGGATGCATTTCTTAAGTGTACATGGAACGTTCTTCAGGGTAGACCATATATTAGGTGATAAAACAAATCTCAAATTTAAAAGATTTGAAATTATATACATTATATTTTCAGATACAATGGAATGAAATTAGAAGTTTCATTCCACAAAATAAAATTTAGGAAATTCACAGCTACATGGAAATAAGACGACACACTTCTAAGAGTAACCAATGGGTCAAAGAAGAAATCTCAAGACATTAGAAAATACATTCATATGAAGACAAAAACACAATGTACAAAAACTCATGGAATAGAGTAAAAGCAATGTCTAGAGTGAAATTTAGATTTGCAAGCATCAATCTAAAAGAATCTGAAATCAATAACCTAACTTTCTGTCTTAAGAAACCAGAAAAAGAGCAACCTAAACCCAAAGCCAGCAGAAGGAAGAAAAAGATTAGTACAGATGTAAAACAGAATAAAAAAGCAATAGAGAAAAACAATGAAATCAAACTCAGTTCTTTGAAGAGATAAACAAAATTGGCAGAACTTTAGCTAGACTAACCAAAAAAAAGACAATACGAATTATTAAAATCAGAAATAAGAGTGGACAGTACTATCAATGTTGCACAAATAACACAGAATAAAATTATATGCCAAGAAATTAGTTAACATTTATGAAATGAATAAATTTCAGGAAATACAAACTATGTAAACCAACTCAAGACAGAAAATATCAACAGAACTATGAGAAAAGATGAAATAGTCAAAAGTGTCACAAAGAAAATCCTCAATTAGATGGCTTCACTGACAAACTCTACCAATTATTTCACTGACAAACTCTACTATTTCAAGAAAAATAATACCAACACTTGTCAAACTCTTCCAAAAAATTACAGCAAAGCTAGCACTTCTCAAATCATTTTATCAGGCCAGGATTATCCTAATACTGAAACCATACAAAGACATCGCAAGAAAACTGCAGATCTATAGCCTTTATGAATATAAATGTAAAGTTACTAAATACTAGCAAAGAGAATCTAGCAACATACAAAACATTTACACATAATAGCAAAGTAATATTTATCCCAGGAATGCAAGATTTAACAAAAAAATCAAAGTAATACATCATATTAATAGAATAAGACAGCTGTAAGATAATCTTAACAGACGCAAACAATGCATTTGACAAAATCCAACACGTTTTCATGATAAAAACACTCAAACCAGGAATAGAAGAGAATTTCTTAACCTCATAAACAGCATGTACAACAAAAACCCTACAGCTGACAGCATATATAATGGTAAAAAATACATTTCCCATAAGATCAGAAACAAGACAAGGATGTCCACTCTTACCACTTCTATTTAATATGGTATAGAGTTTCTAGACAAATTAAGTAAATTTTAAAATATCAATATTGAAAAGGAGGAAGTTAAACTAGCTCTATCTCTATTTGGAGGTAATGATAGTATATATAGGAAATTTTCGAAATGCTTAAAAGCACTACAGAACTGGCACATGACTTCAGCAAAGTTGAAGAATATATTGTCATTTTTGAAAGATCTATTGTATTTCTATACAATAAACAATCTAAAATTACCAAAGGCAGTGTTAAGAGAATGTAAAAACTGAGATGCAATTTTTGCAAAGTAACCACCTGATAAATTATATACCTAACCAGAATATATAAAAAAGCTCTTAAAACTCGATGATGATAATGATAACAAAACAAACTCAATAAAAAAGGAAAAGATTTGAATGGACATTTTACAAAAGCAGATATACATGTAGCAAACGAGCATATGAAAATATGCTTAAGATTATTAGTCACTAGGTAAATATGAATTAAAGTCATAATAAGATATAAATGCAGACCTTTTGAAATGGCTAATAAATGCAGACCTTTTGAAATGGCTAAAATTAAGAGAAAAAACTGATCATACCAAGTGTTTGCATGGCTACATCCACATAATGGAATACTACAGAGCAATAAAAACTAGTAGTATATCTCAAAACATGGATAATCTCAAAATAGGCCAAGTTAAAAAGAAAAAAAAAGGAATATACACAGTATGGTGCCAATTTTACAAAACTCTAGAAAATCCAAATTAATCTATAGTGCTAGTAAGCAGATCAGTGCTTGCTTAGCAAAAAAGGAATCGAGAGAGTTACAAAACAGTACAAGAAAACTTTTGAGGATGATATGTTCATTGTCTTTGTACTGTTGACTTTTCACAGGTACATGTATGTATTAAAATCTATCACCTTGGGACACTTTTCATATATGCAGTATATTTTGTGTAATTACATTTCAATAAACCTGCTTTAAAAGAAAAAGCAACATTCTTTAAGATTCTATGTTGAGTAAGCACAAAAGAAAAGCTAAGATATCCATGGAATACTATGCAGCCATAAAAAATGAGTTCATGTCTTTTGCAGGGACATGGATGAAGCTGGGAACCACCATTCTTGGCAAACTAACACAAGAACAGAAAACCAAACACCACAGGTTCTCTTAAGTGGAGTTGAACAGTGAGAATACATGGACACAGTGAAGGGAATATCACACACCAGGGAATGTTGGGGAGTAGGGGTCTAGGGAAGGGATAGCACTAGGAGAAATACCTAATGTAGAAGACAGGTTGATGGCTATAGCAAACCACCATGGCACATGCGTACCTATGTAACAAACCTGCACATTCTGCAAATGTACCCTGGAACTCAACTAAATTTTTTTTTTTTTTTTATCAGTGCTGAAAAGAAGAAACAGATGAACACCATATGTTAATAACAGAATACTGCACAGAGATATCAAAATAAATCATATGGACTAGAACTATCCTTTAATTCATAAAAGTTAAGTATTAGCACCAGATACTTAGCAAAAAGAAACCGAATTCAATGTCAGCAGCCACTATGAAGGCAGCAAAGACTGAAGCGCAGGCCTGAAGTCAGACTGCCTCAGTTTACAAATCTTGGCAACACTGATTACATCCTGCGTGACCTAGGGCAAATTATACAACTTCTTGCGCAATCTCTCATTTGCAAAGTGGGAATAATATCTACTCCATGGTAATTTTGGGAGGATTAATAGATCAGGGCATAGGAAGCTAATGAGGATGAGAATGATTTATGGTTCCAAACAAGCATACATTTTCCAACTAAAAATAACTTGGCTTTTTGGAGAAATGTTGATTTAGGTCTGGCATAGGAAATATACGAGATGATTCTGGAACGTTTTGTCATACCAGGAAACAAAGAAGCTTTCAAGAGCTGTTAGGATTATAAAAAGACTCAGAAGCCGACTGGCATTAGTCCCCACTCTCCTAAAGAAGGTACAGTTTTTGAATGGGATAACTCAGCAGAGTAAAACACATCAAAATTTTAAACCCATTATTTTTCAATTATACTGATAATAAAGAATATATTTAGAGAATATCAGAAAAGCAGCTCATTTTGAAAACTGGCAAATGTGAAAGAATAGGTATTTATTCTGCCCTTAATTTGTACCACATGATAACTAAACAATTGATGGGGACATTTCTTTTTTATAGAGAGATTCTAGCTTAAAGGAAAGGAAAATTGTCAAATTAGAAATCACCATCTGGCCCCTGAAAAATTAATGGATCTAGAAATAATCAGTAATAACTGCTAACATCTCAAGAAGAGAAAGAACCAGGTATTTAGTACCTACCGACTGAAGAACGCGTAACCACCTATTCTAAACAAACCACTCAAACTACTCAAGGATTTAGACTTGACTACTAATTGACTAGAAAATTCAGGGAATGGGGTAGACGTATTAACACCATGTAGACACAATCTGTAAAATCTAGACTGTGGAATATTCTAAAGGACAAACCTTGGTTTCTTTAACAGAAACATCGACAGCAACAGCCGAAATTTGCAAAAATTAAAAAATAAAGCATTTATATCGAGACATAATAACCATTCACAATATTTGGACCTTATTCAGATCTTCACTGAACAAACTATTAGTAAGACAATCAGGAAAATATGTAGATGACTGGCTATTTCATGACATTAAGAAAATATTGCTGTGGATATTAAGTGATGGTATTTTGGCTATGCTAAAATAGAGACATCTTTTAGAAATACAGAAATATGTACAGATGATGATTTAGACCTTAATGGGAGGAAGTATAAACAAAACAAGATTAGCTGTGAACTGAAAATGATTGTGTGAATATTGGCTACGTCAGTTTCTAATACTATTGTCTCTGCTTGTGTATGCACTTGAAAATTTTCATAGTATCTACCATCTGCTTAATATAAAATATTAATATGTATTCTTCAAGTGCCAACCGTCCCTCACAGAATTATTTTACTTACAATGTTATCTTACTCAGAGATATAGGTATATGAAGATGTTTAAACTGAGTGGGCCCTAACTATTATAATGAAGACACTGACTAGTACAGTGACCAAAATTAGATAAGCAGTTCCCCTTAGCTGCGTTGAGTCCTGCCATGCACTATAGTAGCCTCTCAGCTCTACATATAGGTCCACAATCCTGCTGTAAACTACACAGGAGTAAACTCTTTATAAGCTAATAATGCAGCCTAGCCTCATTGAAGACAGAGCCAGGAATCTGAGTCATCAGCAGCAATGTCATTACAAGGCACCCAAGAGAACAGCTTGGGAAATCGTATAGCTCACTCGGCACCATCCGTTCACCTTCCAGTCAGGGTAAAGCCACCAAGAGTAATGCAGCTTTCTGTTACTGACAGCCAGGAGCCCTGCCCCCTAACGTTTTTCTCTTTGACAAGCAGTAAATTTTTTTTAATAGAGTCTGTACCTTGTTCACATTTTCCAGAGGAACCAGGCTTGTCACCCACAGGTGTTTGAGCTTGGTGGCATCTGAAGTGATGGGGAATGTTTCTTGCAGCTTTAAATTCTCTTCCCAGATTGCTAATAAACCTTCTTTACTGATCGTCAGATAATGACTTGAACTTTTTAAGAAAATTACTTTTTGAATGATGTCCTTGTGTTTTACTGGGAGGAATTCAAGGTCCTTCCACTGGGGCACCACAGTTGTCTTTGCTCGTTCATCTTGCTCGTAAAGCTCTAGCAGTATAAATGAAGTCAGCTTGTCCCAGTTAATGAAGCCATCTTGGGCCACATCCACTTTGTCAAAGAGCTCCCCGTATTCTTCCTTTGTGCCCCAACCAACAATCTTTGTCATCTTCTGCATGAAGTCTTCTCTGGACATACAAATGATTTCTCTTGGCTCTGGGGACTAGAATCGGGAATCCAAAAACAATGAGACAGCAGTGAAAGCATCATATGCACAAGAGCACTGTGCTACCCACAGAGCTGAATTTAATCAGCAATTCTGCCAATGTGAAAAGAAAAATGTCTTTTGCTTCCTAACAGTAATATATTCAAGTGAATGTAAGCTGGGGAGCAAATAATTGACAGGGCTAGAAGCTGACATTCTCAATCGCAAAAGTCCTTATGTCAGGAAGAATAAGGCAGGAGAGGACATGATGATGGAAACATGGAGTCATATGAAGCTGTGAGCCGAAGAATTCAGGTCACCTCCATTTAAGTCGGAAAAAGCAAGGAAAGGATTCTCTTGGAGCCTGCATGAGAAACACAATTCTGACGACTTGATTTTATCCCTGTAAACCCCATTTGGGGCTTCTGAGCTCCAAACTGCATATTAATACATTTGTGTGTTTTAAGTCATCGTTTTTGGTACTTCATTACAGTAGCAATAGGAAATGAATGCAGGCATATCTCCTTTTATTGCACATTTCTTTATTTTACTTTGCCAATATCGTGATTTTTGCAAGTTGAAGGTTTGAGGCAACCTTGCATCCAGCAAGTCTATCAGTGCCATTTTTTCAATAGCATGCCTACTTCATATCCCTGTGTCACATTTTGGTAATTCTTACAATATTTAAAACGTTATTTTTAATCTGTTATGGTGATCTGTGATCCGTTATCTTTAATATCACTACTGTAATTGTTTTTGAGGCACCATGAACCATGCCCATCCAAGACAGAAAACTTAATTCGTAGGTGTTGTGTATGTTTGGATTTGCTTCACCAACCAGTCATTCCACTTTCTCTCTCCCTTTCCTTGGGCCTCCTTATTTTGACACACAAAAATATGGAAATTAAGTCAATTAATAACCCTCTAATGGCCCCTAAATGTTTGTCAGAGTTTCACATCTCTCACTTTAAATCAAAAGCTAAAAATGATTAGGCTTAATGGGGAAGGCATGTCAAAAGCTGACAGAAGCTGAAAACTCAGCCTCTTGCACCAGTCAAGTTGTGAATGTAAAGGAAAAGTTCTTGAAGTGCTTTTCCTTTGAACACATGAATGATAAAGTGAAACAGCTCTACTGCTGCTGTGAAGAAAATTTTAGTGGTCTGGACAGAAGATCAAACCAACCACAACATTCCTTTAAGCAAAAACCTAATACAGAGCAAGGCCCTCTTTAATTCTATGAAGGCAGAGAGAGATAAGGAAGTTGCTGATGAAAAGTTGAAAGCTAGCAGAGGTTGATTCATGAAGTTCGAAGAGTCATCTCCACAACATAGAAGCGTAACATGAAGCAGAAGCTGCCGATGTGAAAGCTGCCACAAGTTATCCAGAATTTCTAGCTAAGATAACTGATGAAGGTGGCTACATTAAACAACAGATTTTTCAATGTAAATGAAACAGCCTTATTTGGAAGAAGACGCCATTTAGGACTTTCATAGCTAGACAGAAAAAGTCTTGCCTGGCTTCAAAGCTTTAAGTGACAGACAATCTCTCATTAGGGGCTGATGTAACTGGTGAGTTTAAGGTGAAACCAATGTTCATTTGTCCTCCAAATCTCGGAGGCCTTAAGAATTATGCTAAATCTGGCTGGGCACAGTGGCTCATGCCTATAATCCCAGCAGTTTGGGAGACTGAAGGGAGAACTGCTTGAGCTCAGGCGTTTGAGACAAGACTGAGCAACACAGTGAGGTAAGGGTGTCACTTAAGCCTGGGAGGTAGAGGCTGCAGTGAGCCATGATTGCGCCACTGTACTCCAGCCTGGGCTGAGAGCAAGACCCTGTTTCTGTGTTCTCTAAGTGAAATAACGAAGCCTGAATTACAGCACATGTGTTTACAGCATGGTTTATTGAATATACATGGTTTACTGAAGCCCACTGCTAAGACCTACTACCCTGAAAAAAAAAATCATTCCTATTAAAAGAGTACTGCTCCACCATGTCCTTGGTGGCTCAAGAGCTCCAACAAAGATGTACAAGGAGATCAATATCATTTTAATGCCTGCTAACACAAAGCACATTCTGTAGCCCATGGATTAAGGAGTAACTTCAACTTTCAATTCTGATTATTTAATATCTTTTGAACAGTATAGCTGCCATAGACAGTGATTCCTCTGATGGATATGAGCAAAGTAAATTTAAAACTTTCTGGAAAGGATTAACTAGAATGGCATCATTTTAGATGCCATTAAGAATATTAATAATTCATGGGAGGAGGTCAAAATGTCAGAATTAACAGGAGTTTGGAAAAAATGATTCTAACCCTCATAGAAGACTTTTAGGAGTTCAAAACTTAGATGAAGAAAGTAACTGTGGATGTGGTAGAAATGACAAGAAAACTCAAATTAGAAGTGGAGCCTGAAGATGTGACAGAATTGCTACAATCTCATGATTGAACTTGAATAGATGTGGAGTTGCTTCTTACAGATGAGCAAATAAAGTTGTTTCTTGAGATGGAATCTATTCCTGGGAAGATGCTATAAACATTGTTGAATGACAACAAAAATGTGGACTATTAAACTTGGTTGATAAAGCAATGGCAAGTTTTGAGAGTAATGACTTCAATTTTGAAAGAAGTGCTATTGTGAGAAAAACACGGTGAAATAGCATCTCATGCTACAGAGAAATCTTTCATGAAAGGAAGAATCCATCCATGTAGCAAACTTCGCAGTTATCTTCTTTAATGAAATTGCCACAGCCATCTGAACCTTCAGCCACCACCACCCTGATCAGTCAGCAGACGTCAACACTGAGGCAAGACACTCCGCAAACATAACATTACCTCTCGCCAAAGGCTCCGATGATTAATATTCTTTAGCAGTACAGTATTTTTAAATATACAGTTTTTTAGATATGTGCTATTGCACATCTAATACACTACAATATAGCTTAAACATATATTTTATTTGCTCTAGGAAATTTGTGTGACTCACTTTATTCTGATACCCACTTTATTGCAGTGATCTTGAACCAAATCTACAATATCTCTGAGGTGTGCCTATTAAGTAGTTTATGAAAAATGGGTGAATCCCTGAAGAGTGCTTAGTGAATTCAGTAAAATTACCCCATGGTAAAACTTTACTCAGAGGGCAATAAGTTAACTTCTATACATATGCCATTACAAAGAACCGTGAAGCCACATGCAATTGATTCTTGCTGTTCATGGTAGCTATGTTCTATAAGGTCTTTGAGAACACTACGTTAGCAGATACTGAACCATTGCTCCTAGGGGAAACACAAGGTTAAGTTTCTGCAAACCTCTGCACAACTGCTCAATACCTAATTTTATGTGTGTTTCTGCTGAAAGACATCTTATTTAATATATTGTTAATAAATCACAATTAAATTCATAGCCAACAGCATCATAACTCATGTTTGAATGAAGCAAGCACATGCATTTTCTCAGTAAGATACATCACAGCCTTCTTGCACTTAGGAATACCAGCCAGCACTCCTCCACTGCATTCGGGGCCATTTTAAATAGTGAAATCCCCAACAATAACCACAACGTGAAAAACATGGCACTTAAGAGATGGTAAAAAGGACACTTGTTTACAGTATTAGAGCTCGAACAAGAAAGCAGAGTGTTGCCTTGTTTGATCTCCACTTGGAATGTAAGCCTTAGGAGACTCAAATTTTTTGCCACTCTGCACATGTCTGGGAAGCACCATTAAAGTGCTGTGAGTATTGATTTGGGGATTACAAATAAATTTTAGGAAGTAGGCAAATTTGCAAGAATAAAATTTGCAAATAATGAAGCCTAACTATTTCAAATAAAGATACAGCTTAACATTGATGAGCTGTTTTAGTTTAGTGAGATTCATTATGAAAGAATAAACTTTTCCCACCATGTCAGAGCCAGAGCCGGGACTGGTAGAAGCACTAGAGGCAGCATATTGTGGAGCAGGACAAACCAGTGTAGGTTTAAGCCTGGTTCCACCAGAGATTATGAGCACTACTGGCAAGCTACTGTACTGCTGAGCCATAATTTCCCATCTGTAAAGTAGGAAAAGCAGTATCAGTTGCAAGAAACTTTTTATGAAAATTAGCTGAGATAATAGAGGTTAGTTTAATGGAGGTTAGTTCAGTCACTTAACTGATTAAAATAACTTTCTGAGAAATAATTGATACCAAGCCCTTTCAACTAGTCAGGAGTTAATTATTCTTACCTTTGTTCAGTTATTTTTAGTCAAAAATATTTAGATAGCTGGAAATTTTTCAGTGATCCAGATTTTAAGTATAGAGAAAGAAATCTAGTCCTAAAAGTGCTCCATCTGAGTCAAAACTGCAAGTTATTTCTGAAAACTAAGGCAATGTTGACTTTTATTTTAAACTATTACATAATGGCATTAATCAACCTTAGATTGTCATCAATAAGACAACATTTAAAAGCAGGATCTCAGTGCATTTTCTTCCTTTGAGCTAGTAATTTATTTTTATTTCTAAGAACAAACTACTGACAAATATCAAAACGCTTTTTTACATTTAAGAATGTAGAATTAGAAACATAAGCAATCAACTACGTACTTTTCTGCACATTGATAATACCAATATCCAATGGGGAAAGAAACAAGAAACAAGCCCAGGTTATGAAATTTGACCCCCAAAATGCAATTGTATGATATCCCTGCCAGTTCTGTTACCAATTGTTCACTCATTAGTTTAAGTTTGAAAATGAAACCATGTTTCTGCTATACTGTCAGATAGAATCTAGTAGTTTGTTTTTACTAAAAAATGTGGACTTTTTTCAAGACGCATGATGCTTTGATTAATATGTTGTTTATGTTTAATTGTATCATACGCCAACTTGAATAAATTAGTTAAATGTACAATTAAGGTAATTAATCTTAGTACAAGCTTAAAAGCACAAATGCATTAACTTTTACCACATGATTAATTCTTGTTTTATCAGTGACTCCCATTCTCTGGGGCTAGAATTCATTCATTCATTTGATCATACTATCTATA